ATGGATATGAGTGATATACTGATTGTTTCTCTTCTCTCCAGTTCCATGCCATGGTGATGTCCAAGTGGCCCCAACTACTAACTAGGCTGCCTCAGAGGAATCCTTCCCGCCACGTTGCGTTCTTGACCAAACAGCTACAGCACTGTATGGCCTGCCACCAAGTGTTGCAGTTTAAGGGTTCCACACTGGCCTTGGTGATCATCACCTTAGAGTTGGAGAGGCTGACTCCTGATTGGTTTCCTGTAATTACCGATCTGCTAAAAAAAGCACAGGTAGGAGTCAGGTTGGCCTCTGCAGCTTACATTGGAGGCCAACACCAAGTTTCAAAAAGCAAGCAAGCAAGCAGACGAATTGTTTTAAAACATTGCACGTTTTAGACAATGTACTTCTCAGGAGTGCTTGTGTGTAGTTGTTAGGATGCAAAACACCAGGTTAGTTTAATGGCATTAACATTCGGATGAAGGAGAGCCATTATTAGGTTACATGGGACCAGGGGGTCATGCTTAAAGAAGCTTATAATTTCACAGTGGAATTTCAGGTATTCCAGATGTTCTCACCTCAACCAGAGCATTACCTCTGTTCTGGCAGTTGAGAATTTGCCAGATAGTTTAGCTTCATAGCCCATTCAGATCTCACATGGCCATGTAGTGGGCGGCTTACTGAACCAAGGGGTTGGATTTTTATTTAATTATCAATGTATATAGCCACCCATCTTACAATTGTGATTCTGGGCAACACATATAGGTTTAAAACCACAAAACAAAAGCAAAGCAACAAGTAATAATAATAACATAACGGTGCCCATGGTCGTAGGAAATTTAAAGGTGGCCAGATTTGATATTAGCCAATGACATAATCCGAAGCATTAACTATGAAAATAACTGCTGTCAAACCTTATACTCTAATACAGAAGTTGACACTTTACTGTGAGCGTTACATAGACTTCTTAAAGACAGAAAAGAGACCCTTCTACTGTGCCCCCATTTCCCTGTCTGTATAGTACTTGCTAAATACCAAGGTAGAACTGAGTACTGGAGAAAATTATAGTGCATCTCTTATAACTCCCAGAACATCAGGGGTTCATTGATGCAATTTTTTAAAGTTCTCATGAAACAGAGCCAAGATTGGGAACTTGTGATTCTCCCATTGTTGCAGAACTGCATTCCCAGCTCAGATGGCCAAGGATGATGGATAACTTTTCTTGTCTGCCTTGTTCCATCATGTTGCATTTTCTCAATTTTCTCAAAAACAAAAGATTGACACAGGGTTTGTTGCCACACTATTCAAGGATAGGAGTATGTGGCTAAAAGAATAAGCCACATTTGCTATGCAATGCTTTTGTTGATTCAGGACTCATTTCACATCATACTCTTGAGGGAGCAGGAGTTTTAAAGCAGAGCACTGACCCTAATTGTGGTTTATGATACATTCACAACATGAAAAGAAATATTCTGACATGAAAAGAAATAGAAGTTTCATGTTAAGTGTGAACTCAGCCAAAGCATATCCAGGTTCCCCATTGGTGGTGGGTACCTAATCCAGGGAGAGACTTTATCTTGACTGGTTGTACAGAGTGAGCTTGCTGGAATCACTGGAGTTAAACTGATGGACTTTTAAAAGTAAATTACTAATAGCAGTGAAAAATTAAGGAAGTGAGAAGAAAATGGTTTCATTACATTACGTTACATTTTTATCACGTGACAGATCGATAGCACCAAATTTATCCACTGCAAAGAACTTGTTGATCAACAGGTCTTGGGCTTCCAGCTACCCAACGCTGTCTACATTTTCAACCCTGCAAATCAAAATATCCAAACTCACCTGGCTGAAGCATTACCCTGCTGTTATTCGATAGCAAAGGAAGAAATGCAGTTTAACACACAAACCACACTTCTCAGAGTCAATGTTTGTGAAGATGACCTGCAGACCGATGAATTCTATGATGGATTCAAGTACCTGTACAATGAAGGTGGGACCTCAGAAGCTGGACAGAACAGCAATATGGGAAGTGGTGATATTCAGGGGCCAGAGGAAAGGATCAGCACTTGTCCACCTTTACAACCTGCCCCTCATATCGATTAGAGAAGCCTATATAAGCAAAAGGGACCAAACACCCGACAAAGCCAATGTTATTTCTAATATTTCATCAGTGAGAACTATGTATTAATCCAAAGTACTGCCTACACTGTAGCTTTCAACTCTCCATTTTTTAAAAAGTTTGAGCAAACTTTTTTTGATTAGATCAAAATATAAATGTAAAAAAGACATCCATTTGGACTATGAGTAGCTGCAAGGCAAAACCTCAGGCGATTAAGATGTCCTATGCTTAGAAATATTGATCGGGAAAGAATAGGAGCTTGCTAAACTTCTTAGGACAGCTTAAGATGTTTGTTGTTATTCAGACACTAGCTTGGTTCTCCTACCATTTGTTGAACTTTTGCATATGAGTTCTCTTGTCTGAGGCTACGTTCTGCAGGTCTGAAATGTTAAGGACTGGAGCAGAAAGTTACCTGATAGCAATCAACTAAATCACCACTTGGCCACCACTTAGCTGAGTTCAATTACTAGTGAAATTACGGTACAGGAATAGCGGAGGCTTAGTGAGTAGTGTAACTTTTCTGGTTGTTGACTGATGATCTGAACTCAGCACTGGAATGGTCAGCACACTTCACGGTAGAATCCAAAGATTTTCAGTTGATGGCCAGGCCATACAGGTGAGCAATTTTTTTTTAATTTTTACACTGCTTAATGCCACAGCCATGGCTTTCCATCCCCATATAAATAGAAAAATTCATCCAGGTAGAAAGTTCCCCTTTGAAAAAAGAAACATAGGCCTTGGACATTGATCCCACAAACATGGGAAAATCCTTCTCCCCTTCCCATCTGCACTGTTATGTAAACAGAGATGAATATACACTATTTTATGAGATCTCAGAAGGACAGGAAGTGAAGCAGGATTTCTATTGATCCAGGGCTAATTTTTTGTCCTTAGATGATGCATTACCATCCCATAGTACATTGGCGTTACAGTGCCTACAGATATGGTCTGTCTTTTCAAAGTTCTTAATTTTTGAGCAGGAGCTTGAACATGATTGGCTTCTTTCGATTCTATGACTGTGAGTTATATACATACATGCATGTCAATAGAACTGGTGCTGAGAGGCTAATATTTTGGGATAATGCTGGTTCTCTAGCATCTTATATATTCCCACCTGAGGCCTAAAACTATCTGATAAATAAGAATGGGTGCGTAGTTTTTTTTTCAAGTATATTCAGCTGTCCAAATACTAAGGAGTGTCCTGAAGGATGAAAAATGGTTGCAGGGAACAACAAAGTGGTTTGGCTAGAAGAGCACAGGTATGTGTTAACTGGTTTGCTCTTCATTTGATGTACATTTTTGTCTTTCAGCTTATGCACATTTCTCTGAACACCATGAAATGGTGCTCAGCCCCCACACTGGTTTGTATTCTATTTCCATGGAGAAATTAATTGTCTCTGAGCCTCATCAGTTTTATATTCTGTAAACTGGATGTTGGGGCAGAAAACTTCCAGTAAGAGTATTAATATATTTAGGTACTCAGATACATCCTTAGTTCTTAGCATGGCTACGCATGCTTCAAAAATAATTTGAAGATAATTTGAAGAAGTGTGTGCACAATCGCAGCATCTCTCTGCTATTCATTAATGCAGACTTTTTCCAGCTGCTGCATGGGACTGAAAAATGTGTTTGTGTTCAGAGCTGCAGTAAGTTTAATGAGCCAGCTTTTTAAAGCAGTACCATCTCTTTTTCATCCTTGTGCAGCATACTTGATGTGGCTGCTTTAATGAATGGGAGAGAGGTCCTATGATTGTACAGGTTCCAAAATACTTCTGAACAGCTGTATGTTCTTGGGCAAGTTACTCTCTATAAGCTTTATCCATTTGCTTTCTCAGAAAAGGCCATTTTGTGGCTGGCCACTCTCCTAACATTCCTGATAAACTCAAAATTCCAGTGGGGATTACTAGGGACTAGTAAAATGGTGCAAAATGAGCAAAAAGATGCTTGATTCTCATAGTTTACACATCATAAAATTCAGCTTCTCTTAGTGCAGCTAGTTTTAATATATGGATTTTTAAAAGGTATTTAGATAGACCTGTATATAAAGGCTCAATCCTTTGGCTAAATGGGTGAGAGATTTCATTGCTCTTATGTGTTAAATTGTTACAGTAGAAATGCTGAGCTGAGCAATGTAATTGCCTACACAGGATGACCACTCTCGCCTTAGCTAAATCCAATAAAATGGAGATGCAGGTTTCCTATAGAGTTTGCCAATACAGCAGAAGATATTATTATAGCATCCAAATTCAGGTGTGTTCACACCAGTTGATGTTAACTGGCTATCAATTATATCAAATCATAGGTGAATTGATATGGACACATCTTAGATATTTCACTCAAAATCATTACAGCCATTTGTTCTCCAAAACTCAGTTTCCAGCTACCTTAGAAAGAAATGGCTCAAGGAGCAGAGTAGGTTTAAAACCTTCTAATTCCCAAAGGAGGAACAACAAAAGAGCACCCTCTTCCCACTGGGTATCGAACTATAGTATACTCCATAATTAATCATTAAATACCCAATAGAATTCTTTCACCCCAGGAGGTCACAAACAACTTGGGAAGGATGTCACAATATGTATAGGTGGCGGTTGTGGCCAGGAGGGCCTTTGCACAGCTCTGTGTTGTGTGCCAGTTGCTCCCTTTCCTGGACCATGAGGCCTGCTCACAATCGCTCATGCCTCGTCACTTGCCAAGTGAACTACTGCAATGCACTTTACATGGGGCTGCCCTTGAAGAGCATGGTAACCACAAAAAACTACAGTTCTCATTCCTTACCTGTTTCCAGGGAGATATTGGAATATATTATTACAAATCCTAAAAAAGCAACTTTTCATCATTATTAAATTCATTATATCAGAAACCAATTTAGAAAGCAAGCTACCTTGCATGCATTATTCAGCTGGCCCAGACAGCATTTTCAGGTCATCTGCCTGCAACAGTTATGTACCTGATGATCATGTGAACGAAGTAAGTGTAGCAAAAGGTATTTCCGCATTTGTAGGAATATATCAGAGCAGCAGCAGTGTGAATGATGTGCCTTTCCCCAAACAATAGGAAGGTTCTACTGTGTGCTCAAGAACTCAAGATAATGCCTTGCCAGCTTCACAGTATGTGAATGTTGCTGATACAATGAGGGACATAGGAGTTTAAATTATGCAATATATTATACTGTAAAATCGGGTGGTTTTCGTATGCCTTGATGTCTCCTAAGGGCCAGCTTGGAAAATGTCATGACCTTGCTTTCAAATTATAGGACCAAAAGCATCATCATAAACTGTGACTTTTTATATTTTTAATATCGGTGATTTGGGGGTGTCTCTTTTTAAAATGTGGGTGGTTTTGTTCAATAAAAACAATTTAAAATCTTAAATCTAATTTGTCCTTTCTTGATTTTGCTTTCTCTTTTGGAAATATGGCCTAGGTTCCTGTGACTTTTGCAAATAGAAAACAAGCTAGTGCATTCAAGACATTATAGTTTTATAGATACTTATCTGGAAATATGCCTTGAACTCAATAGATCTTAACATCTGAACAGGCATGCATTTAATTGGGCTATGATCTCAGAAACCAACTTTCTGAAAGTTCCTTCAGTTTGACTAACTATACCTACACAATATATACTTTCTTATAGAATGTGGCATATTCTGTTTACTTCTACATGTAGGGAATCAGACAATATGACAGTTGAGAAAGGGATGTGAAAAGGAACAAACAAAATGCAATGAAAACACCATTCTGATTTTTAATTATAACTATCAGGGAGGTGTGTTCGGTAGGGAAATTAATGTTACCCGGTCACAAATGTTCCTCAAATGCGATAGTTTTCAGTGGATCTGATGAGGACATTATTTAATGACAGACTAATAGGAGAAAATGTGCAGAATTTGGCTAAGCTTGAACACTTGATATTAAACAGTAAGATTTTTTTCTGATAGAATGTAATTCTATTAATATCCAATATATTTTGGATGATCTGTAGGACTTTAGCAGAAGAAATTCAATTACAGTCTTGTTTTCCATAAATGAAGAAATGAACGTAAAACGTTTCATTACAGGAATCCATGCTATGCCAAAAGCAGCATTTCCTTTGGCTTCAAACAGAACTCAGGTTGTTTCTTTTTATTTGTAAAACCTTCTGGGGCAACTGCTTATGTACTTCTGTCTTACCACAAAAGTGAGAGACAGAAAGCAATGGTAACTTGGTGTTCATAAATTCCAAGATGGCATAAAAGCAGTATCTTATACGTTTCTCAGTTATAGCCCTCCAATTCTTTTAGATGTCTTGGGGAGGCTGGAAAATATTCAAGAAAGTGAAAGGGCATTTCTTAGCTGGGTTTATCAAGAGACAGTTCTTGTGACCACAGATGCTGAATGCCATTCCCTTTTTAAAACAGACATTTCTACATATAACAAGCAAATCAGGAAGTGGAGGAGAGGGGAAATAGTGCACATTATTCATTCTTCACACCTTAGCAAATTTGACCAAAAACAGCCAATGACTACCACTGCTGTAATAAGATCCTTTCAGTTTCTGGATTTGATGCTTCTGGTCTCTCTCCCATTCAGCTCAATGTTCTGATGTGGTACCTTCTTGAGATAGCAATGTGCACGATCACTTTGCTTCCTTCAAAATGTGGCAACAGAGTCCTGCTGCATTCAGATTTCTCCTGCTTGTCCTGAGGAGTCCCTGGCCAGTTTCCCCAGAGTACTCCCTACAGGCATCGCTGTGCACTTCAAGACAATATAGGACACTAACTTGATAGCAATTCTTGCATTTCATCTTAATGCTATATACCAGTTTGGATATACTGGCTTCACTAATTTACAGACCTCTCTCCAATATAATCTCTCTTAATGTAGAGTTCTTCTACACCCCACTTCAGGTTTCCACTTCACATGAACAGTCTTCAATGAGCTGGCAAACTAAAGATTTTTAAGGACCAAATGTAAATTTATTTTGTTGCTCCACCTGTTGTATTTGGCTTCCATTAGAAGTAATTTTATCCCAGAACAGGATAGTATCTCTGCATTGGGTTCTACATACATGTTATCCATTTTTCTAAAGGAAGGGGTCTATAGACAGTCTTCTTGTTCTCTTATTTCAGGATCTTAACAACAAGCCTATTAACAGTGGAATTTCCCCACCTCCCCCATTTAGTTGTCCTTTAAAAATGGTTCATGACCAGTTCAATTTATTATTTGAAGACAGAAAAGGATTTGGGGCATTGTGGCTTTAAATAAGAAACAGATGCAAATACAGAAAGGGAGAAGACAAAAATGGTCTAAGGAGAAAAGAATGGAGGTGTCCCTCTATCAAATTATGCACAGGAATTGAATTAGTTATTTTCCTTTCATACAAAACATCTCATTATACAGACATATGGGAAAAATCCTGCAAAGTTAGTGCTAAGAGATACTAGAATTCAATAGAGGGGTTAGAAATAATTTAAAGTAATCTTTGATGTCCCAATTTGAAACACACTGTGTCATTATTAGTTTTTTAAAGGATGGGACTTTTCTCATGTAGGGCTTCTAGATTACAATTTTTTTTAATTGATCCATTATAACTAAACACATTTTAATGGATCCAGTTTATAATTAAACACATCAAATCTCTATTTACAGTGCAAGTAAAACAATAGTCTGAAGCATCAAATTCATTCTGAATACCTTCTCAATGTGTTCAATCTGCCACTAGGAAACTTCGTTGGGGTTTCTTTCTCCATATAGGAAGATTAGTGTTTTTATTTTAGTACATGCCATGCATTTAGTCTGAATTAAACATTTATAGGTGAATGATCAGTTTCTACTTAATCAAGGAACCTGATCAGGCAGTGCCGTCCAAATCAATTCTTGCTTTAGAATCTCTTCTGTGAATATATTGCAAGCATTAAAAAAGTAGAAGCACCAATTTAAACTCTTCTGTATGAGATGTTTTGGCCTTAATAAATCTTCTAATTTACATATCTTCCTGATGTTATGGAGCACGAACTGGGAAGACTAAAGAAGCTACAGAAAGAACAAGAGAGAGTATTTAGATTTCAGGCTCACTTAATTACATCAAACATACAGCAAGAAAACACACTCTGTAAAAATGAAAGGACAGCTGCTGCTTGTTCAAATGTCAGGATTATGAAAGTCCAATAAAATGAAGGGGAAGGCTTTCCACTTAAAACATGGGCATTCATATCTTCAAATAAGTGTATTGATAAGTTATAGGTTCATCACAATTTTATTCTGAAATTATCCAAGAGAAATACGGGGTGAGTTATCTACTGCAATTTACATTGCAATGGGACCTAGGTCACAACAAGATCTTTCCAAATAGAGAAAAGGTTCATATTCAACTGCTTTTTCTCAAGAATTCCAGTAGTAAAATAAAAGAGTTCAGACAGTCAACAGACTGTAATGTTTATAAATTGTCACTGCCGTGCAGAATTGAGAATAGCTTTAGAGAAAAAAAACCCTGGGTGAACAGAATGAGTTCTGTACCTTTAGGAACCATGGACACTCCAATAAGGACTGTACGATAGGAGGTGCACAGGGATAGAGGCTCCCCTTTCAAAATATATTAATGGGCAAAAACTAGCCCTTAATTGAGCCAAGACAACTTCCTTCCCTTGATTCTAGCCACAAAATAAAGGTTTCAACATGAGAAACTTATTGATAGGCCTTCTCAAAGTTCTTTTTCCTGCTTAGAATATGTCATAAGAGTAGCCCAATAGAATCCACATTTTTTACTCTTTACTTCAAATGTAGTTTTCTAAATTTCACTAAAGCAAGCTGCTTTATAAGCAATTATTGCTTTAGCTACTTCTGCAAGGGTAAATACATTCAATGATCTCTCCACAATGAGACAAACATTCAGGTACCTCTTCCAAATTACTCCCACACACTGATGTTACCTAGTTGGGTAATGAAAGGTCTGCAAATAAACAACCAAGCTCAGAGAGCACCAAAGACTACAGTTCAGCTCTGAGCTACAGATATTCTCTTCTATTGGTACTCCCATAAAGAATAGAAGCAGAGGTCATATTCGACAGTTACCAATAAAAAAAAAGATAATCAACAAGAAATATAATATTCTTCATTCTAAAAGGACATATACCCCCAATGTTGGACTAGAACAAATCTCATATATTTGCATCTCAATTTAAAAATGCAATGTACTTTACATTCTTTTTATGATGCATTATACTTGCTAATTAGCATTTCATCAGATTACCAACACTTTATATTCATTTAATAATATAGTTACCTAATACACTGCAACTTAAGACTTGCTTAAGACAATTTACTTCAGCAAAACAAAATTAAACATGATCACTGTAGTGGCAGGACTGCTGAGTCCTAAAAGTCATCATGTATCCATGAGGTTGATTAGGAACTGCTGTTTCATTCAGCTATTCTGCTTCCTAAAAGTTGCATACACTTTTGCTACCCTAGTACAAAATTATTAAATGCTGAAGCACTTCACAATGGATTCTATCCATTGGTATATCAGTTCACAGAACATCAGGGCAATTGATTTCATGTCCACAACACTACATGTCTCCCACATCTGTTCTAGAGGGTTGAAGAAAGAGACATGGACAATGAATGGGCCTGCAGGAAGGAAAAGTGCAAAAGAACGCCTTGTACTACCAGTCCACTTTCATAAAAACTATAATTATAGTTATTTTTCACTATAGGTGACCTTATCTATTGATATTATATTCTTTAAAAAATAACCCCGCTATTAAAACAGTGTTTTGAACGCAGTCCTACATTTTTATCCTATGGAACTCATATTGCTTATGTTATCTTTTCCATCTTAAAAATATGTTTTCAAGATTTTGAGAACTGAAATCTCTCTGCCCTATACTAGTGTATTATCTTCCACAACTTGGATATCCTTCAACTCAATTCTGGCAATTCTGCCAGTGTAGAATCTCCTTAGGTTCCTAGCTAAATCTTTATGTTACCAATGCATTCTTCATTCAGAATTGAAGCCAGATTATGCAATCATCTCTTTTTTAAATACAGGCAAACCTTAATTCCAGCATAAAAATTCTCAGGAGTGCTGGTATCAGTGAAAATATGGTTTCAGCCCAGGCACATCAGCTTTAAGGGTGGAAATGTTATATAAATTTTACAAGTATTTTTTTCTTCCAGTTAGGATTGAATGAAATGTGTAAAAATAAAAACACAGAACTTAAAATGAAATGTAATATTTAATAAAAAGAAGTACAAAGGAAGCTGAAAAAAGTGGTTAAAATCTACTAAAACTATAATGTGAGAACAATACATAACACTTCATAAAAGAAATTGATGGGTTCTCCTGTTGACACTTT